TATATAGAGAGAGAGAGAGAGAGAGAGAGAGAGAACCATCTCTCCCTTAGAGATATAAATTGCACGAGAGACACGTAACTTTTCCAACTATGGGACTCACCACGTCGTCGTCCGTGCGCGACGCGTAAGAAACCTCTCGGTAGCGTCGCGACAACGGTATAGAAGAGAGAAATGTCGGGCAATAAGTTTCGTAAGCTCTAATATCATTTTATGGGCCGTTCTCGCAAGGCGAATATAACTTTTGGACGACGAAAACTGTTTACGACATGAATTTCGTGCGCGTTTTAGCCTGTTATATGTACTAAATTAAGGAGAAAATATTCCCCGGGCGTCTGAGCCGCCGCTCTTAACAGCATACTTTGCGTACCTTAGAAAAATTGGAAAAAGATTGGTAGCCCGCGATTTTGGAATGTTTAATATTAAATATTATGGCAATTAGATCTGTGAAATATTATGGCTCTCTCTCTCTCTCTCTCTCTCTATCTATCTATCTTGGATAAAATCTCGAGACTTAACTGAAGGTCTTGTTGCATATTTATGAGGTTTATGGTTACCTTCTTAAAGCTCAATTTGCGTTTGAACACGTGTTGAGTATAACCTCTTAATTCAATTTCCAACGTGCGCGGAAAAAAAGATACACACATTTCTTTACACGCGACTTTTCCAGGTATTTCGTTTAATATCGTGTATATAGCACACCGCGGCGTATCAGGAGTATAAAGCCGCTCCTCGAGTAAAGCTGCTGATAATCGTTGTCTTATAGTGCGCGTTAGCGTTAATCGCGATGAGATGCAATAAATGACTGTATCTCGCGCGCAGTCGAGGATCTCAGGACTCATAATACGCTTAAGCCTCGCAAATCTACCCAGCGCGAATACCGTTTCCCCTTTTAAGCGCCCCGTTTTACAGCTGGATTGCTTCCACTCGGCGCGGAACCCGAGAGTGCCGCGTCGCCGTTTAACAATCGCATAAAGTTTCGATTTCCTCCTGCTGCACGCGCGCTGCGTATTGTCGGCGACAAATATCGCGTATATATACACGGAATTCCGTCGCTTACGGGCGGGCGAGAGCACTTGCCGGGGTCGCTTTAGAGAGTTGTGTAAATAAGCGAGCGAGAGCACTTTGCGCTTCGTCTTTATTACGATTTCTCTTCTATAACTTTGCCGCGGGCATTCGAAAATCCGTCGCCTTTATTACGTGTGTCGCACGTCGCGGGAGTTAGAAAAGAAAAACGCGACCCGAACCCGGGTCACGTTAAATAAGAGTTCTTTGGCGTTAGAATTATTTCTTTTTTTCTTTATTTTACTTTTCCTTCTATTTCACTGCCTGTAGATTAATACGTTTTCATTTAAAGCTCCGCGCGATTGATATAAATCACCGCGATCACGGCATTCGTTCCGTAACTTTTTATCATTTATACGACGACCTTCTATCGAAAAATTTAATACCTCCGTCCCCCGTAAACTCTTTCGCGTGTGCTCGCGCTTTGAAATTGCCGATAATATATTTCGCGTCAGTAAAAAAAAAGTATATATAAAGGTTCGCATCTTTCATCATTTACGGCCTTCGATTTCTCTAACGTTTTCTTCATTTTCTATTCCACGTGCGGTCGCATCTACGAACACGTCGCGCGTCGTCTTACCTATAAGTCGACGTGAAAAATGTCGTCGAAGTGTCTGTCAAAACAACCGATAAAGGAAAATTTAAAGCGAACAGAAAGAGAGATATTTTAGATAGAATATTTTACTTTTTACATTATATTTGAAATAATTGTCAATTCTTCTAAATTTCGCAAATTGCAAGAGTTAATCCTTCGCATGAGTGTTCGCTGAAAGCTCTCTCAAAACTTTTTATCATCATTTTTCTGACCGCCTCCGATTTTCTATTATAAGGCTTAAAATATATGAGGATATTTTTGTGTCGACTCGAAAAAGTAAATCATATTCTAGGCTTAACGTCTCTCTTCCGTCTTTTTTAAATAGATAAATAGATTTTTTTTAAACAAGTTTGTAATTTTTACATAGATAAGTAACATTAAATTTTTT